GGAACGAAGGGGCGAGACTAGCAAAGAGGGAGGGGAGGGGGGGAGGGGAGAGAAAGCAGGTAGCGGGGGGGGGGGATCGGCGCGGGGTTGGAGGGGAGGGGGCTTTTTGGTCGAGGGGACCGGGAGGCGTGGCGCCAGCATCGGGACTTCGGGTTTGGGGGTCGCGGAACATTGGCTGCCAGTAAATGCGCACGCATGCGCACACCCCAGGGGCAGGGAGAGGGGGCGCGCAGGGGGGGGGGGGGGGTAGCGCGAGGCTCGGGTCTTTGTCCGCCCCTCGCTTGTCCCCGGTCGCCTGGTGGTGGGCCCTGCCGAGCAGCGGGCATGGGCGTGCGTCCCGGAGGCGGGGGGGGGCGGGGGCGAAAGGCCAAGAGAAGCACCAGCGGCCGGGCCCGAGCGAGGCCCAAGAGCATCCCTCTGTCTGGCCGTGCGGGCGCGCCTGGTGCTTGTCCGGCCGCATGCTTGGGGATCTGCAACGAGCGTGGTGTCCACGCCGGCGCGCAAGGCACCCGGCGAAAAGCGCTCGGGGGCGGTGGGCTAGCTGCAAAGTTCGGGGCCCACTTCCCTTCCCCCGAGGGGGGGGCGGGGACGGAGGAATGGTGACCCCATTCCCGTGCCGGCCGGCCGGCTGGCGGGCCGCCCCACCAACAAACGGTCGGGGGGGGGGGGGGGGGGGGGGGGGGGGGGGGGACAAGATCTCCAGCCAGTGAATGCGCCCTCCATTCCCGTGCGCTGGAGGGTGAAGCCCGCGACGCGGCCCGCGACGAGGCCCGCGACGAGGCCCGCGACGAGGCCCGCGACGAGGCCCGCGGCCAGGCCCTGATGACGGGACGCAAAGATACACAAAGAGACCGGAGCAAGACCATGTCCGCGGGGTGGAGGGTGAATGGAGCGGCGGGCCGCCTTGCCCGGTCCCCCTCGCCGGGGCCTTTCCTCTTTCGTGCAGAAAGCCGCATACTCCATCGTCCGGGGGCCGGCAGGTGGGGCGGGCAGGCGGGCGGGCGGGCAGGAGCAAGAGCCCGGGCGACAATGGTGGCCCCCTGCGCCCTCCCTTGTGCTGTCTGTGAGGGGAGCCGTGGTCGCCCGACAAAAATACATGCGGCAATATATAATCCACCTAATTTCAAGCCGCCCGGCCCCCGGGAGGCTCCGAGCTCGGCGAAGTGTCTCCTGACAGGCGCGCACGGTGGGCCGAACTGGCCCGCACAACGAGGGGCCGCCGGATCTCTCCGCGCGCGCGCGCGCGCGAAGGGGCCGGAGAAGTCACCCCCGCCCGGCCCGAAGAATGCTGGCCGCGGCGATCGGTCCGAAGCCCGGCGAGGCGACGGGTGCCCCGCTCCGGACGTGCTCAAGCCGGCTGGACATCGACCCTTGTATCCGGCACAAGGGGACAACAACAACAAAAAAAAACAACAAGCGCCGCCCCTTGTTCAGGGGGGGGGGGCGTGGCGAGGGGGAGGCCCCGAGCGCGGAGAAGGGGCTGGCCTGAGCCGAAAGCCGACAAAGGGCCGAGGGGTGGGGGGTGGGGGGGGGGGGGGGGGGAGGGGGGCAGCGAGCGCGAGTCCACCCGACACACTCATCTTTCACGACGCCCCTGAAGGCGGAAACCCTCGCCCCCGGCACAGGAATGTGCCCCCCGACCAGAGCCGAATGCGCCAAACCCTCCTTAGATCGGCCACGCACACCCGTTCCCCAGGCCCCCGGGCGGAGGACGTCGTGACTCACCCCCCGCCTCCCATCTTGCCTTCCAGTCGCGGGGAATTCCTCCGGCCCCGCAGCAGGGCACGCCCGCTGCCAGGCCAACTTCTTCCTCGTCGGGGGCCCGCCGGAGCCACCGTCAGCATGAACGTGCCCCTGTGCAGGGGAACATGTTGCTGTGCTTTGGGGATGCGTGCGTCGGCTCGGCGTCCCCAGGTCTTCGGGCCGGTTCCCAGTGGGTGGGGGGGGGGGGGGGGGCGGGGGGGGCGCTTCCTCCCGCCAGGGTGAGAGACTCGACATGCTTATTGAGCAGACCAGGGCGCATTCCAGCATCATCGCCAACGATTATGCCACGTGATGATCGACACATGACGGACCAGTGCCTTTGACCAGAGGCGTCAGGATTGCCGGGCTTTCGTGTCTCACCATCGAGGGAAGAGCAGGGGGGG